CGCGCGCGCGCACACACACACTCACGCGCGTGCACCCACACACACAATAATAATAATAATGTCTGTCTCTCACGCGCATGCGCGCAAACACACACACTCACGCGCGTGCACCCACACACACAATAATAATAATGTCTGTCTCTCACGCGCGTGCGCGCAAACACACACACTCACGCGCGTGCACCCACACACACACAATAATAATAATGTCTGTCTCTCACGCACGTGCACGCAAACACACTCACGTGCGCGCACACTCACTCACGGGCGCGCGCACGCACACACTCACGCCCGTGCGCGCACACTCACGCGCGTGCGCGCACACACACATTTGCGCGCTTGCACGCATACACACACACTCACGCGCTTGCACGCATACACACAATAATAATAATAATGTCTGGCTCTCATCTGCATCCATACTGAGAAAACGCAACGAGTTCCCGAATAGGTTGTACACTGTTGCCGGTATGTGGACTATCTTCTCTCCTTGAACTGCGGGTCATTGCGTGATGTAGCTTATCAGCAGTACATACTGTGTGTTCATACAGGAAAAAAACATGCCAGCTAGAGGCGCTGGCGCTGCAAACAGTCCTTCCTATAACCTTGGGGCGGTGGCAGTGGTCGTAGCTCAACAGTGAGTCACTGCGACCGATGGTACAGCCGCTCTTGATCTTCTTCCTGTAAAATCAAGAACAGCAATCGCAGACAGGTTCATCAATCGCACGCAGTATAGCCTAGGGAAACAGGAGATCTACTGCCGTCCACCTCATCAAGCCGGTTTCGGAAAGCTTCACATTTCGTAGTGATGTAGTCCAAAACAATTCTACAAATGCTTTGGAAAAGAAAGAACTACATACAGTAGCTAGTGTTTTTGAAATATTGCACTCACCTCCGCTTTTCGACTGACGCTTCACAGTGTGGCGTGCGAAAAAGGACACACCACAGTTTCATCCACCAGCGTCCGCATCGGATGAGTGCATAATATTCCTCCTGAAAATCCTCCTCTGCCAAATGGCTGGAACACACGCGAAGGATTTACATTAGTCCCGAAATTGTCAAGCAAATAATTATGTCGCTTGATAGCTGCTATGGTGCACTGCTCGGCCTGTGCCAAGCACAATCCTTCAGAAATTGGTGCAGGTTCATCCCAGGGGGGTTACCAGTAAGATTATAGTAGCCAACAACACAGCCAGAAGCCATGATGACACAAATACCCTCTTCTTCCATGGACAAACAGAAAGAAGATGCGAAATCCCAGTGTTTCTGGATCTGGCCAAAGGATCACCAAGTCTCAATGACGTCACGGGTTTGTGACGTCACGGCACGGACCCGAAAAGGACAATTGCAAACTGATATATCTCAAGAACGCTTGGTCGGATCGAAGTGGGACCTTCACCATTCGACTCAGCGTCCAAAACTCTACGGACCATGAAGTTTTGATTTTTGGGTGTAGTTCCCCTTTAAGGCAAAAGCCAGGCAGGCACAGTGGGTTGGTCAAAGACCATGATTGAGATACGAGAGGTACCTGGTTCAAGTCCTGCCTGGGAGCGGTTTTTTCCAGCCGTGCTGCTACCCACAGTCAACTGGGAACTTGTGGCCAGGCACAAGGGGTACATGGATGCAGCTAATGGGGTCGTTCTCGGCACTTGTGCCAGTGGTTGTGAGGCTTACCCACTCACCCCCACCGTTAGGCGCTGCATCTGCCGCTAGGGTTTATCGGGTGTTAGCGGCCGTCGTGAGTTCCCTGCAGGAACGGACACGATAATTTACTTTTTTTTTTAAGGCAAAAATTAAAATTTCACCAGTTGTAGTCTTCGGGGTGCTGAGTCGAATAGTCGTGGTCCGAGGAAGCTGAGACGCTCCCTTCCTACTTGAATCCCAATCGAACTCGCGCACTTCCACCGAAACTGGGTGACTGCGCCCTACTAGATGGGGATTTGTATGCAAAATGTCACTAAAAGCGCCATTTCGTTCTTATAAAAGCACGGATGACCGCGATTGGCCCATATGTTGTAGTCGTTTGGACGCTGCGTCGACTGGTTTTGATCCGAAAAGGCTGCGATGCAGCGTTCCTCCTTTATTCCCAATCGAACATGGTTGAACAAGCGGTCACGTGCTCCTGCGTACACCAGTCAGCTGGTCACCGTGCCTGCAGGGTACAACTTACTAGCCTGTTTGACCTTTTTTGGGTGCAGTCCTGTCACTCGAGTTGAACCTTGGTGTGAAAGTAAGTTGTCGCCTGCTGGCGTGGTGACCAGGTGATTTGGGCACCCAGGAGCACGTGACCGCTTGTTCAAGCATGTTCGATTGGGAATAAAGGAGGAACGCTGCATCGCAGCCTTTTCGGACCAAAACCAGTCGACTCAGCGTCCAAAAGACTACAACATATGGGCCAATCGCGGTCATCCGTGCTTTTATAAGAACGAAATGGCGCTTTTAGTGACATTTTGCATACAAATCCCCATCTAGTAGGGCGCAGTCACCCAGTTTCGGTGGAAGTGCGCGAGTTCGATTGGGATTCAAGTAGGAAGGGAGCGTCTCAGCTTTCTCGGACCAAGACCATTCGACTCAGCACCCCGAAGACTACAACTGGTGAAATTTTAATTTTTGCCTTAACTTCCCCTTTAAGCATAATATAAGGTACAGTACATCATAATGGTACTATGGGCTATACCAAGAGTACAAGTCATGTACTCTTGGCTATACTGACAGTATTCCTAACCAGCTTGGCGGGGGCCCGCTGCTGTTGTTTGCTTGAATCGATGTCCGCAACCTTTGCCTCAGCTTGCTCATGACTTTGTCTCATCTCCGTTAGCACTGCGTCATACCGCTCTGGCAACTAGCATCATTCTGTTGAGCCAAGGCTGCAAATATGTTACTCGAGTATCCGCACCAGGATCAGACCAAGCGGAGGCAGCACGGGGCCATCAACGACCTTAGTGTTGAACTAAAGCGATCTTGAACACCTTTAGTTGAACTTTATTTTGTTGGGAGTACTGTGTACTGTGATCATTCCTTTGATATTCATGGTTTTATTCTGGTAGCTGTTCTATAGATTTACTATGCAGATTGGCGTATGTCCATGGCCATGATATCCTGCACTGACATAGTGCTTTGCTGATTTACTGCGGCCGCACACTACAGCGCTGACGCCTGTTGGGAATTCCCTAGTAAAAGAAGAATATTTGAAACTCGGGTATTGAGCCAATAATAAAAGTAGAAAGGAAAAGGACATAATTATGGAAACGAGTTAAGAGTAACTCTCCACCACTTTAACTAGATACTATAATACAGTCAGAAAGTGCAACAACTAGGCACAAAACTGACAGAGTACTGAGACATTCGACGTCCTGACACCTAGCTTCAACACATCTCCGTAGCGCTAACCGGCAGCCTTCCAACTTGGAAGGTTCAAGGTTATGGAAAGACCAAAGAGGGGAAGGCAAGCGCAACGAAAACGAGCACAAGCTACAGTCCCAACGGAACAAAGAATGTCGATTGTCACTGGACGATTTCGAGACCAGTAGACCGCTTTGTCAAATCGCCTACTGGTCTCGTCATCGTCCAGTGAAGCTAGGCGTCGAATGTCTCAGTACTCTGTCAGTTTTGTGCCTAGTTGTTGCACTTTCTGACTGTATTATAGTATCTAATTAAAGTGGTGGAGAGTTACTCTTACCTCGTTTCCATAACATAATTATGTCCTTTTCCTTTCTAAAAGAAGAATAAATAATTGCTATTATTAAATAATAAAAGAAGAATAAATAAAAAAATAATACTAAACTACACTGTATGTGGGAATGTGGTACTTCCCACTTTCACGCTTTCCTTTCGTCTCCTTCTTGTACTTTGTTCCTTTTAAAATAAATTGAAGGTTCCAGAGCTTTGTTGTGGTTATTTAGCTAGATGTACATGTAGTTTCGCTGCTCTTTCAGTTCATCGCATTTGTTCTACTTCAAGTACCATTGTTCTTTCCCAGTAATAACCAGTGCATGCATGCCATTTCACAAAATGATTGTCTGAAATATAGCATACGATGGATGAGTCGTTGTCTTGAAGTCATGTGAGGGAAAG